CCCCCGTCGCGAGGCTGGTGCCTCACGGACACAGCCTGACAGCAAGGCCAGCGGTCCTGCACAGCCTCATTTAGAGGACTCCTCTACCTCGACCCTGAGGCCCTCAAAAGCAGGAAACGCAGCTGCATCGATTAAGTCCGAAGACGCTGTCAATCGACACGTCGCAAGTTCTGGCCTCCAGGACACAGCCCAGCGGCAATGCCGGCGGTCCTGCACGCTTGCCCTTCTTTTCGTGCTATGTGCCTCCTAGACCCGGCCCGGCAACAATGTTGGCAGCGTTCTGACACGTCGGAGGGTCTGACCTCCAGGACACACCCCTGCGGCAATGCTGGCGGTCCTGCGCAATTTTCTGCACGAAGGCATGCGCGCATAGGAATGCGACAACTCCAGGGGCGCTGTTCCCACTGGGCATGTCGGCGGTTCTGCCCTCCAGGACACTGAGCTGGCGGGCCTGCGCGCCTGGTCGGAGCTATTGACCTCCAGGACACAGCCCAGCGGCAATGCCAGCAGTCCTGCACACCTTCCTATACGAGGCAAGTCGGGGCACAGCCCGGCAACGATGCTGGAATTTCTGTCCTGCAGGACACGACCCAGCGGCAACACCGGCGGTCCTGCACATCTTTCCAGCCCTGGCCGGCCCCTGGTGACTTTGGGCCCCAAACGGCCTTTTGAGGTCACCGGCCGCCCACGACCGCCAGCGTGGCCCCAAGCAATGGCTCACTGCACTGGGGGGGGAACGCGGGGTACCCCCGACAATTTCTGAACGTTTGCGCCCGGGGGGGCGGTATGTAGGCTGTCCGTGCTGGTAAACACCTCGGGATTCGGGAATGCGGGGTCGGAGATCTATGCCCCACTGGGGGGGAGGGGGGGCATGTTATGTCACAGCTCTTCAGAAGTAACATCAGGAACGGGGGCATGTTATTTCACAGCCCCGCACCCCCCGCCCAACCGAATTTGTCGAACAGAGGTGGCTGTCTCGGGGTATGCTGACCACGCATGCCATCCACCAACACCAGGTGCCAACAACAGTCCCTGTACAGGTTCTGGACCAGAAGGTTGTCTTTGCAACATTCACGAGCACATTCACAGGGCTATGCCTACCCTCACGGGCATTAGCACTACACTGCAATCCTCTTCCTCCTCCCCTTCCCCCTCCCCCTCCCCCTCCCCCCTCCCCCTCCCCCTTCCCCTCCCCCCCCCCTCCTCCTCCTCCTCCTCCTCCTCCTCCTCCTCCTCCTCCTCCTCCTCCTCCCCAGGGGATACCCTGGCCAGCCGCCCGCAAAGGAAAGGCAGCGAGGCCCCGGACTTGGAGGGGCAGGCCAGGCCTTGGACGGCCCCACGAGGGCCTCAGCAAGAGGGCCCCCCGAGGCGGCCCAGGACAGGCCTCCCTGGTGGACCAGCGACCGTCAAAACGGAGGTCAGGTCTCCACTCCTTTTTTCTCTTCGTTCTGGAAGCTCTTCGCCTCCAGAAGGGAACGCCGACCTGCGGAGTGGAGGTTTTCGATGCTCTGGGCGAGAGGCCAGCAGAGAGGCCTTGGCCCTGGAGGCCAAGGCGAGCCAAAGAGGGGCCCCAGGGCTCCAGCCAGCCCCGAGGAGAAGGCCCCCGAGGCGGCCCTAGAGGACAACCCACCCTGGGTGTTTCACGCTGAATGTTTTTGCCGGGTGTCGGGTCACGGGAACGTCGCAGATCGATCCGGCTCGAAACATATCGCAGAGAAATTGGGTCCAGGGCTCTGGTCGTGATCTTTCGCGATGTTGCACTTTGCTCGCAACGTCGGATCACAGGGTCCTGCAGGTGGCCCGGAAGTCTTGGAGAGGCCGCCAAGACGGCCTGCAAAGGCGCTAGGAGGGCCACGAACGGCCCCAGAGGGCCCCGAGAGGCACCCGGAGGCGCTATGCGAGCATCGGGACGCCTCGTCTCGTCGGAGTTCTGGAATCGCAGCGGCCAGAGCCGATGCCGGACCTCCCTACAGGGCGGAGGACGAGCCTCAAAATTGGAGGTTGTCGATCCTTTGGGTCGGCGATGCGAGGCGAGGCGGTCTTCTGAGAAGCCAGGAATGCTTCTTGACGGAGGAGGAGGAGGAGGAGGAGGAGGAGGAGGAGGAGGAGGAGGAGGAGGAGGAGGAGGAGGAGGAGGAGGAGGAGGAGGAGGAGGAGGAGGGGGAGGGACCTCCTGGAGGCTCGTGAGAAGGCCTTTCATCGGGCGGCAGGGCCTCCAAGAGCCCCCCTTGCGACCCCAGGCCCTGGCGTGGACCTCGGAACCCAGGACCCCTCAGGGCCACTGGCTCTTTACCCTGGGCGACTTTATGGACGGCGCTGGGACCTGGCAGGGGCCTGTCGGAGGTCTAAAACTACAATCTTGACATCAAACTCCACGGCAACTTAGATGCTTCGGGAAGGGATACCGAGAAAACCTAGATGTAATGGATAAGGATAATTTCCGGATTCGCTAAAGACAAACTGTTAATACATATCCACTGCGTCTCCTGATTCTAGGGAACGGAGCCCGAAAATCCGAGACACAAAAGATGTGTGCGTAAATCTTGTCCGCGAAACCGTCCTCAAACCTCCCACCGTGAACGTATGAGAACAACGACCATGCACCGTGCCGTGTTTGGACTCTCTTCGGGCCCCGTTCCAACGCGGTACGGTGCACAATGGGTCGGCTCTAAGAGGAAGATAAACTATGCACCGTACCATTCCTGGGCTGAGGACCGACGACGCCTCGGGAGACGCTAACGCGGTACGATGTACACAAGTCGTCTGCGGATCACGTAAGCCACCTCCCTCGCCCGACCGCCTGCGGGCCGCCGACATGCATGCGAAGCAGCTCCTCGCCGGCTCCTCGCCGTCGGCGGCCTCCTCCGCGCCGCTGGCCAGCGCCCTCGCGCACGGGCCGAGTCGGAAGTCCCGCAGGAACTGGACGTCTGACAGAAGGCCAGACGGTGGCACAGCTCGCACGCAGACGGCGCCTGCACGCCAGCGCCCCGCCCCGCCAGGGCCATCGGGCCATCCTGGGCCCTGGGATGCTGTGTGCGTCCTCCTGGCCGAGGCCAGGAGGGTCTGTGTGGGTGGCCCTGGCTCAAGGACGGCGGCGGTGGTGGGCGTGCACCTTCTGCGCATGAGCGCAAGACTTCTGGAGGTCCGCGCGGACTTCTCGGGTCGACGCGCAGGCGCCCCGCGCAGGCCTCGGAGAATCTGCCGCCGGCTGCGGGACTCCCTGCGAACCGCAGAGCTCCGCGCGGACCTCTGGACGCCCCCGTGCCCGTGCCGCCTTCCCGGCCTTCCGATCTAGCCGCTCGGCGTCGTGGTCGTCCAGCCCGCCTGGGCAGCCGAGGATCTGCAGGAGCACCTCGTGGTCCGCCGCCAGCGCCCGCGCGGCGCCCGCACCCCGGCTGCCCAGACCAGCGGGCCGCACGGGCTCCAGCTCCGTCGCGGCAGCGGCAGCGGCGGCCTGCGCGCGGCAGCGGCGCAAGTAGAGGCACAGATCGGCCGGGAGCTCGGCCAGGTGCGCCCAGCGCGGCTCGAACGCCCCGTGCCCCAGCTCCAGCAGCGCCACCTTGGCGAGGCGGACCTGCTGGCACGCCGGCGTCATGCTGGCCTCGCCCACGCCGTTCGCGCTCCACGCGGCCTGGACCCACTGCGTCCAGGGCAGCTCACGGAACAGGCCGTGCAGCAGCAGCCAGCCCAGGGACTCCAGGTCGTCGTGGGGGCCGCGGCAGCACTCCGAGGTGAGCGCGTTGATGGAGGTGTAGTCGATCGAGCCCCAGTAGGGGAGCATCGGCTCGCCGTCGGGGAATCTCCTCGCGCAGCCGAAGTCGATCAGGAAAGGCCTGCACCCAAGCGCCACCTCTTGGGGATCCTCGGCCTCGCCAGGGCCGTGCGGCTCGCTGGGGCCCTGAGCGGCACCCCTGGGCTCTGGGAGGGCCCACGTCTCCTCGCCGCCGAGCAGTATGTTGGACGCGTTGACGTCGCAGTGGACGAAGCCCATGCGGTGGACCGCCCGCAGCCGGCGCACCAGCTGCCGTCCCAGGACCCTGAGGACCTGCCACTTGACGCCAACGTCCCACGGTGCCAGTAACTCGAAGAGTCTGGACACGGGCGCCCCGAGAAGCTGCACCACCACGTAGCATTCCTCCGAGTGCCAGCCCATGTCGAATATCCTCGGCACGCCCAGGCACAACTGGCCCTGCAAGGCCTGGCAGAACTCTTCCTCTTCTCGGTTCACGGGGTACTTCAGGGCCACAAACTCGCTTCCGTCGTACATGAGGACGCCAACCGAACACCGACGCCGATCCTCTAGGTCACCTAACCTCGCGCATCGCGCCCGGCGATGCGCTGTTGTCCTCGCGCCCTTGAACCACCCTCTTTGAGAAGGGCAGCCGCTCTGGCCCAGACCGCGACACGCGAGGGCGCGACTACCCTTGCGCCCTTGCGGGTGACTTAGATCCTGGCGAGGTCTATCCCTGGGCTCAAGGATTGGCCTGGCCAAAATCCTGTCACCCACGGCAAGTTCGCGCCGTGACGACCCCGGCGTTGGTTTCTGACACCGCGATCATCCGTCAACCTTGAACGATCGGCAGCCTTTCGATCGCCAGATCGTTCCATGTTGGCCGACTCTGGGCCACTGGCGGCGTGCAAGGGTTGATGGACAAAGTCCTTCACGTTTTATGCTGATTGTTGTGAACGCCACCCGCGCCTCCAGTTTCATCTTGGCGGTCTGCGACCCGATGCGTCGATGTGTCGACAGGCCGAAATCCTGCACCCCGCCGGCGCTGCCAACCAACATTGAATCGGGAGCCAAAGCGGTCTAAAACGCGGTCATCCGGGTCAGCAGCGCAAGCCTGGGCCGGCCAGGGCCCAGCCCGGCTGGCTGGGCTGTCGCTTCGTGGCCCCCGAACCCGGGCCAGCGGATGGCGAGAAAAAGGGGGCCAGCGCCAACGTGTTGGCATCCCCCGAGTCGCAGGCCTCCTCCGCCTCTGGCGGCCCCCCGCCGCCCCCGGCGAGCGCGCTCCCCAGAGCGTGCCTCGCCTCCATGAGCCCCGCCTGCGCCGTGCTGGATCGGGTCGGGCGAAAAGGGGGGATAGCAAAGGGGGGGTTTGAGAATCAGCTCACGTAGCTGATTTTCCCCGCGCCTCCCGGCGCCGGAAGCGGCTATGTATCGAGGAATGGGCCCCTCGGTGAGGCCGAAACCAGCTGCATGCAGCAAATTTCGTAACCCCCCCTTTCCCAATCCCCCCCTTTCGCCCGACCCGACTGGAGCCCCGGGACGCGGGACTCTCGGCCCTGGTCCCCGGCTGCAGCGGCCTCACGCGGTACACCACGCCGCCGCCCATGCCCTGGCCCAGCTTCTCACGCCGCGGCGGCCTGGCCCCCTCGAGGGGGTGGGCCGCCAGTGTCGGGGCCAGAGGGTCGTCGTCGTCGTCGTCGTCGTCGTCGTCGTCGTCGTCGTCGTCGTCGTCGTCCCTCGCGCGGTTGCCTCGCGCGATGGCCTGCGCAGCGGGGCCTCCGGCGCAGCGCGGCCCCACGCGGTGGTCTCACACAGCCGCCCCGCGGGACGGCGCAGCGGCCTCGCGCGGTGGCCTGCGCGGGCCGCCAGCGCAGTACGCCACGCGGGCGGCCTGCGCGCGAGTGTCCGCGCAGTCGACCCCCTGTGTGTTGGCCGTCGCCCCCATGGGGCTCGAGCGAGTGAGGCCAAAGGAAAGGGTCACATCACGTCGCCTGTGCACCCGGCGGTGCGCCAGCGACAACGGGATGGCAGAAATCGGGCTCCGCGCTGCATCGCCGATGCGTCGGCGATGCGGCACGACCCTCCGATACGACGAAGGATGGATGAAAACAAACCGTGAATCTCTGAGAGCTGGCGGGCCTGGAGGACGCACCGGGTGCCGTGGCCGTTCCAGAGCGCTCCAAAACGCTCCGAAAACGTCCTGGAACGCTCTCTGCGGCGGCTTTTCCTCATCCTGCAGGCCTGCTTGATCCGACCCCGTCTGTGCCCAGAGGATCGGAAACCTCCACTCTGGAGGTCGGACCTCCGTTCTGGAGGCGAGAAGCGTCAGAATGCAGGTCGGACCTCTATTTCGAACGCCTTCCATCCTATGCGTGGATTTCCCTGAGGCCTCTGGGAAGTTCGCGCGCGGGTCTCCGTGGGGGGCCCTCCAGAGGTCCTCCAGAGGCCTCTGCAGGACGACGGTCGTGCGGGGCCCCCCCAAAAGGAGCGGGGCCGCCGCGGCAGCTCGCAGACCTCGTACCCCCCGACGGCATCGCCCTCCGCAAACGGGCCGCCTGCCGGGCCAGCTCTGCGAGCGGCGGGGGACGTCGGCCGCCTCCGGAAGCGCCCGCACGACGCGTGGGAATTCCCCATGGGGGGGCTCGGGCGCCGCCAGCCATGAGGGGCAACGACCCGAGGGGGACGGGATCCAAGGGTAGAGGAAAGAGAACTATGCACATGCACCGAATCTGGCCAGACCCATCCTGAGCCCACGATCGGTGCACACGCCCTCCTGCCTTGGCCAGGAAGGCATATGCACCGATCCTGGGTCAAGGATGGGCCTTGCCAGGATCGGTGCATGTGCATAATTCTCTTCGCCCGAAAGGGGGGGGGGGCAATACCGACGTGGAATCGGCGATGCATCGCCGATGGACCGGCGACAGGTCCTGGGCGGGGTGGGCTACAGGGCCCCCATCGGCGATGTGCATGGGCGGTTGTGGGTCGATGCGCTTCCCCTGGGCAGATCCCCCCTTGTCGTTGCCCCGCGCGCGCGCTCACGGCCGAGGGCAGCCGGGGGCGAGCGCCCCCGCCACTCCTCGGCCGAAGTGGCCCTGGGGCCAAAGACTTCTGCGGAGGGGGCAACAGAAGCGGCAGCAGCAGAGGCAACAGAAGAACGATCCCTGAGATCCGTTGCAATCGTTTCACACTGGGCGTGTTCGCCCAGTTTCGCTAATTAAAGCTGTGCGCGTCCCGCTTAGCTTCCAGCGGAAGAGGTTCGCTCTCGCCCCGCAGATCAAAAAATGTTCGCCCAGTTTCGGGCCCTGGGACCGTCACAGATCGATCCGGCTCGGAAGTGCAGCAGAAAGACGGTCTATGGCTCTGGTCGCCATTTGTCGCGGTGTTGCCTTTTCTCCGCAGCGTCGGATCTCAGGGATACGGCAGGTTCGTGTCCTGAAGACTCCAGCGCTGACTTCTGACTCCACGTTGCTCGAGCACACCTGAACGATCGGCGGCCTCTCGATCGCCCGATCGTTCCGTATTGGCCAATTCTGGGCCACTGCGCGGCCTTCAACCTGGAGCGCCCGCTGTAGGGCCGCCGCCGCGCCGACGCTGCGCGAATCCGCCGCGCTGTCGGGGGCGGCCCAGCGGCGGCGACCGCCGGCGGCGAGCGGCCAGCGGCGACGGCCAGCGGCGAGGCCCAGCGGCGGCGAGCGGCGAGCGGCGAGCGGCGAGCGGCGGCGGCGAGCGGCCCGCGGCGACGGCCGGCGTCGGTGGCTGCGAGCGGCGGCGGCGGCGAGCGGCGAGGCGGCGCGTCCTCGCCCACCGACGGGGCGGTGCTGCTCGCCGCGCCGCCGCTCGACGCGGCCGCGCCGCACTCGCCGGTGCTCCCCGTGCCGCCGGCCGCGCTGACGGGGCGCACGCCGCGGCGGCGGCGGCGGCGAGCGGCGAGCGGCGAGCGGCGAGCGGCGAGCGGCGGCTGCGGCGAGCGGCGAGCGGCGGTTGCGGCGGCAGGGCCGAAGCCATGGACCCAAGCCTGAGCCCGAGGCCTGAGCGCGACAGCGAGCCCGAGCCCGAGCCCGCGAGAATGAACGGCGACGGCGGCGTTGTCGTCGGTGGTCGGTGGTCGGTGGTCGGGAGTCGTCCTCGTCGTCGTCGTCGTCGCCGTCGTCGTCGTCGTCGTCGTCGTCGTCGTCGTCGTCGTCGTCGTCGTCTTGGTCGCCGTCTTGGTTGTCGTCGTCGTCGTTGTCTTCGGTCGACGGTCGTGGGTCGGCGGCGTCGTCTGGCGTCGGCGTCTTTGTCGGTCGGTGGAGAGCGTCGGCGGCAGTGACGGCGTCGGCGTCGGCGGCGGCAACGGCCGCACATTTCAGCGGGAGGAATGGAGGATGAGATAACGGACGACAATGGACACATCCCAAAGGGTGGAAGGACGGGATGGAACAAGAGGCAAGAACGGGAATTAAGGATGACGTGGACAACTACGCATGAGAGAAAGAGAAAGACTGATATTGAGGAGGACGAAAGCGTATACTCAGACGGGTAACAACTTATCACAACATCGCTGCGCACATGCGTCAACGCCTGGCCAATACGAAATGGCTGAGGTCGCGACATTCAGAATATTTTGGCCACGCCGACGAAGAAACTGGGAGGGAACAGGGAAGAGAGGGTAGCAGGAAAAGGCCAAAGGAAACAGGGACAACACACATAAGATTAACGCGGCTTGGAGGCACGCCGAGTCTTCAAATGCCACAATCTCTCGCGGGGTGAGATGGCCGTCTCGGCCTTGTACGGAACGAGCTATTCAGACAGCTCAGGATATGTAAACGAGAACGCGCAGCAACTCACCAATTTCTACCTCAGCGACCTGTCGATGCTGGGGAAATCCAGGAGGCGCTGGGAGGGGCCTAGGTAGGCCCCACCAAGCCGAAAACAGGCCCTGGGGAATACCGCGCCGACGAGTAGGGCGCCCAGACACCACAAATGCAATGCAATTCAACTGCAGCAGAGGAGGACAAGGGCGGAGGGAAGGACGATGGCAGCGGCAGCAAGCGGCCTCACGCCTGGTGCAACCAGGCATTGACGTAAATGAACCACTGCAACGTCGCGGACTCCAGAATGAGAGTCAGGAGAAGGCCATTGGCATCAACCAAGTCAGTCAGTCACCAGGCGAGGCCTGCTGTCAAACAGAATTGTCTAACGGAGGCCTGCTGTCAAACAAATTTGTCTAACAGAATGTTGGCCGCGCCCAACGGTTGCCCGATTTTCCCTGGCTATATCTTAGACTCCCACCAAGCAAACACATGAATATAACTGAGGCTCCCGTCACTGCCTTCGACTCACATCATAGTGGGACACAGCGAGCCAATCCACGAGAGGGCACCAGTAGCTACTCATCGCCGAGGGAGTTCTGAATCATCTCTTCCATCGCCGAAGGGGGGGCGGCCCCGATTGCGCGCTCGGCGCCCCGCTGGATGAGGGCCGCCCCCAGCAGGTGCTTCAAACGCGTGCCCGATGGCAAGCGTTGCCCTTTTGATTCGCTGCTCAGCGTCGTCATGTCGATGTCCGCTAGATGAATGTGTAGCTTCTTCTTGTTCTGGTCGTATCACTTGGCGAGTCGAAACGGCCGGAGCTGGCTCCAAATCTGATTCATGTCGGCCCGCGAGTAGAAGGTTTGATACCACTTGCTGATCTCTGTGTAGTTGAGCTGTCCGATTGCGCCCCCGCGCTTCAAGAGTGCGCTCGCGAACCCATTGAAGATATGCAGGTGAGGAGGGCCTGGCTGGTGGCCGCGACCCTCTCGTTTGACCTGGGTCGAGTACTGCCTGGAGGCTATCGCTGAACTTGTGTTGGTGACTACTGCTGTCCGCGTATATCCACGAGTGGAACGGCGGCGTTGCCTCTCGCATGATCCACGCCCACCCCCGACCTGGGATCCAGCGCGGTGGCCGCCATCGGACCACAGCAAAACGTCTTTTCCAGTATCTTGCGCGGTTGGTACTGACGGGCATATCCAAGGTGCGACACGTGATGGCCCATGCAGCGGTTCACGATCAGGTCGGCCTCTGGGTTTTGATGTCGAGGGCGCCGCTCTACAGGGTCGGGCCAATCATATTGGGCACCGAAGCCCTCCAAAAACAACGTGCTCAATTGTAAGAGCGCGTCATCAAACATAGTGCGAACGTGCTCTCTCAGTTTACTGGTTCCGTTGAACATGCCGGCCAAGACCTGAGGGTCCGTAGTCGGTCTCAATATCGTACAAGGCGATTGCAATGAAAAGTCAGACTCCAGAGCGGATGTGTTGGCTGAGGCGCAGCGTGCCTGTGTTTTCGAAGCATTCCGAACACTTCGATATCCTGGTCGAGCGCCTTCTTTTGACTAAACGCGTCTCCCCGTCGTCTGCGGCGTGGCCCCAGTCGAGTTGGCGAGGCCTGGCAGGGTCGCCCGCGGCGCTCTCTTCCAGCCTTCCTCGAAGTCTCTTGGCCGGCCGCGCGGAATCCAGACGGGCGGAATCAGCGGCGGCTCGTTTTGGCGACGGCCCCCACTCAGGCATGTTCCAACATTGAAAGAGTGAAAATCTGAATTTGTCTTGTTGGCTCCTCCACTTGTGCTACTGTCAGTGAAAAATAAGGGAACAGGGCTCGAGCATGAGGTAATAAGCTGAGAACCCAACTTTTACAATAACGTCGGCGACGTATCGAAGTATCCCACAACTCATCCCTCGATGGCAAGCAAGGCGACATGCAAGACATGAGCCATGGGGCCGGGAGATAGATCATAGTAGGACGCGGCATTTGTCCGCTGCTACGATCCGCACATCGACTCACACAGCCGTGTAACTGGAATAGGACAGCGCTGCCTTGAGCCAAGGCAACATCGGATATAGCGTTCGCTATACAGCCTCTCCGTAAACCTCGGGCCGAACGCTCAATCCTAGTCCTAGCTAATTATACCAACTAAAGAAAGAGGATGGGGGCATTGTTTTCAACATCCCCAACAATACGCAGGCACATACATGAAAAAACAGCACAGAGCATGAAGGCCGAACACCCCCCCCCCCCCTCGTTCAGCCGCAGATAGTTACGGATGGCCACGGCCACGGGCAAGACCGCGTGACCATCCGTAGATGATTGAAGGGGGGCGGCTGGCTAAATGCCAGCCGTCAACGCGTGCGGCGCGTGAGGGACTGTGAACCAACGGTCAGATCCCCTCAATGCTGAAAGCGTAAGGCCCGTGTCCAGGCTCTCATGGTAGCTGCGGAGCTGCGAATGTATAGGCCCGTGGCCGAGCAAAGATATAGCCACTTGTAGGTATGCAACCCCGTGTCCGGGGAAGGATAATTATTTGTCTGCGCATGAGTAGTCGCCCTCATTGGTAAACGCTGGCGCTGAATAGGGCACCCCTATGTTGGTGATTTTTTTTCTCCCTCGGTAAGGTATGTACTCATTTGTCTTATCCAGCTGATGTGTCCCAGGGGGGCACATTCGGTCGGCTTCTTCAAGTCCTTACTTGACAAGGGTTTGAAGACCGATTCAGCTTCTATGGTAAGGGTGACCTTTATGCTGAGACCTGTCGGAGTCATAGGTTGATATTCTATTTTCTATGAGCCTTGATGAAGTTCGCGTGTGACAGAGTCAAGTCTTCGTACTTGGAAGTTCGTGGGCCCCTGTAAACGTTGCAAGGGTACCACGTGTGCCATTGACCACGCCTGGGCGGTTCATGCATGCGCCAAGGCGCCGCGCGACGTGATGTACATGTCGGACGCGGTCTCCGTTGCCTTGTCTGCCGCCACAGCGCGCGTAAGTTCTGGGCGTGGTGCCGGGCGAAGCTGTTTGATGTATTCGTCCTGATATAGCTGGACGTGGCCGTCCACGGTCTGAGTGCATCGTGCGGCGCGATTGGTGTCGCCGCGTTTGAGTTCGCATTCGCCGAACGTGCCTTCTACGCCTTTGACGCGCGCGTCAATAGTGCCCTCCACTCCTGCCATGTTTGTCATCGACGTGCTCGGCTGCAGGGGGGATCGGGCTCGTCTCAAATTCTTCATGACGCGACGTAGGTTTTAGCCCGAATCCTCGCGTGATGGTTCTGAGCTTCAGCACGCCCTAGGGGCGCCTTTGGTGCCTGAGCCTGGCCTGCGGCACTATTGACGGTGCTTTGGCCCGTCACAGGGCGAGAAACTGGGCGGCGTGCGTAGCGCCGAAGTTGAACCGGGTGGAAGGGTAAAGCAAACCACGCGCTCTTTCTCTCCAGCGGCCTCTGCCAACTGCCGATAGGTCAGACCTTTCAAAACATATCAAATTCCATGGCTGCCATGACCCACTGTTTCTTGCGCGCGGCCGCACTGGCGAGCCATCGCTGGCTTGCTTGACGAGCTGTGCCTAAGAAGGTTTCCACGTCGAATGCTTCGACCCCCAGAAAATGGCGAAGCACGAGGCGCAGTCGCATGGTTCGTTCCATCTCGTTTTTGTCGATTTTGACAGACTCCCGCTCGCACGCGCTAGTGGCATTCTTGTTGTCCTGCATCTTGAAGCATTTGCTATCATGCGTTAGCATGCCATGTTTTGAACTCAGTGCATAAAGCTGTGGATGTGTGTGTCGGGTTGGCCTGTATTTCTGCCTTCGTCAGGAGGTCGTCCTCCATGACAGCCGCAGCTATTGTAGCTGCGGCTGAGACATATACCCGCGTTGTGGTTGCTTGGTCGCTGCGTAGCGACTCGCACCGTTGCTCTGATTGAGCAACCTTGACCATGCCAGCGGCAAAGCATAACTCAACATCCTGACCGTGGTCGTCCGAATCGAGATTGTAAGTCTCGTCGCATTCGGTGGTCCAAAGTACCAGAACGGTTTCGTCGGTGTCATGGTTCCGAGCGTAACCTGATTCTCGCAAGTCTCCGTGCTCTTCGCTGGC